TACGGGACAATCTTATATTTCTAAGATAACTAAAGCTGGAGAGACTCGACCCTTCTGTCACTTCTGAATTAATGGTAAAATAAAATGCCTGAGCTATGTAGCAAAGGGAATGGATCTCTGCACAGATTCTTTTTTTCTGTCAGTAAAACTTTCCCCTCAAGCAGGTTTTTAAGTTGTATATCTGAATGATCTTGTGTAAGGTTTTGGTTATGGAGTCTTGTGCCAAGCACAGTGGGCCGTTAGCCCTTCACCGTCTATCTGCTTGGTCTTTTATTGCTAAGACTAACTCAAGATGATTCTGGAGTTTTAAGCATTTCACGCCAGGTATGGTGTCTTACGCCTGTAGTCCTAGCTACTTGAGACCCTGCGGTGGGAGGATCACTTAAGCCTAGAAGGTAGAGGTTGCAGTGAGCTGAGATTGTACCACCGTACTCCAGCCTGGGGTGACAGAGTGAGACTGTCACACACACACACACACACACACACACACACACACACAAAAGCATTTCAGAAGGTAAGTAATCAGACTGTGAGGCTTCTAATAAAGTAGTTAATAGTAGTGAATGTGCTGTTTATAGCAGATTGGGTCTCCATAATCGTTTTGGTTCTGCGTAGGGGTGATTAGTTTCTATTACTTTAAGATTTGAAACCAGAAAGGGAAGTCCTGTTTGAAGTTTATTTTGCTTGTTCTCTAACCTAATGGAAAATAAAAGAAAGATATACCATGGCTTGCCTTGTGGCCTTTGTTTTGGTTTTGTTGAGGCAAAGTTTTGTTCTTGTTGCCCAGGTTGGAGTGCAATGGTGCGATCTTGGCTCATGCAACCTCCACCTCCCGGGTTGAAGTGATTGTCCTGTCTCAGCCTCCTGAGTAGCTGGGATTACAGGCAGCTGCCACTAGGCCCAACTAATTTTTGGTATTTTTTTTTTAAGTAGAGACAGGGTTTCATCATGTTGGCCAGGCTGGTCTTGAGCTCCTAACCTCAGGTGATCCCCCTGTCTTGACCTCCCAAAGTGGTGGGATTACAGGGGTGAACCACCACACCTGGCTGTGGCCTTTGTTTCTATCTCATAAGTCTTTGGTTGTGCAGATCTGGTACTTGCCTGGATTATTTTACTTCAGAGTTTTGGGTTACTTCTTTTCCTCTCCTTCAGACTTCTACGTGGAATTTTAACTAGCTCTTCTAATTTCAAAGGGACTCTCAGCTAGTATTGAGAGAAGAGGCAGTTGAAATCTCTGCTGCTGTCTGTTGGTACCACTGCCTGCAGGGGCATAGAAAGACTCGACTCAAATTAATGTTGCATTGTTTCTGGGTTTTTTGTTTGTTTGTTTGTTTTTTTGAGGTGGAGCTTCGCGCTTGTCACCCAGGTTGGAGTGCAATGGCGTGATCTTGGCTTACCGCAACCTCTACCTCCTGGATCATGGAATTCTCCTGCCTCATCGCCCGGAGTATCTGGGATTACAGGCACCCACCACCACGCCCTCCCAATTTTTCTATTTTTAGTAGAGACAGGGTTTCACCATGTTGGCCAGACTGGTTTCCAACTCCTGATCTCAAGTGATCTGCCTGCCTTAGCTTCCCAACGTGCTGGAATTACAGGCATGAGCCACCATGCCCAGCCCCACAATGCTTTAAAAGCAGTTCTAGCCGGGCACGGTGGTCCATGCCTATAATCCCAGCACTTTGGAAAGCCGAGGTGGGTGAATTATGAGGTCAGGAGATTGAGACCTTCCTGGCCAATATGGTGAAACCCTGTCTCTACTAAAATACAAAATATTCGCTGGGCATGGGGGTGCACGCCTGTAGTCCCAGCTACTCAGGAGACAGAGGCAGGGGAGTCGCTTGAACTCTGGAAGCAGAGAGTGCTGTGAGCTGAGATGACGCCACTGGACTCCATCCTGGCGACAGAGCAAGACTCCATGTCAAATACAAAATAAAACAAAGCAGTTCTAGGCTATTTTTTTCTTTTTGTCCTGAGATGGAGTTTCCCTCTGTTGCCCAATGTGAAATGCAGTGGCACAACTCACTGGAACCACCACCTCCTGGATTCAAGCAATTCTGCTTTAGCTTCCTGAATAGCTGGGATTACAGGTGTGTAACATCACGCCCAACTACTTTTTGTATTTTTAGTAGAGACATTTCTCACTTTTTTGACCAGGCTGATCTCGAACTCCTAAGGTAATTTGCCTACCTTGACCTCCCAAAGTTCTGGGATCACAGGTGTAAGCCACCACACCCAGCTTCTCTTTAAAAGCGTAAGAAGAATCAGGGACTGGGCCAGGCATGGTGGCTCACATCTGTAATCCCAACACCTTGGGAAGCCAAAGTGGGTAGATCACTTGAGGCCAGCCTCTGCAACATGGTGAAACCCTGTCTGTACAAAAAATTGAAAAATGAAAGTTATTTGGGCATGGTGGCACATGCCTGTAGTCCCCAGCTACTCCGGTGGCTAAGGTGGGAAGGTCATTTCAGCCTGGGAGGTAGTGGTTGTAGTGAGCCCTGATCACACCATTGCACTGCAGCATGGGTGACAAAGCAAGACCCTGTCTCAAAGTCAAAGACTGAAAACTAGCAATGTGAATGTCCCTGGAAGCCACAGGCCAAATGGAGGTTATGGGACTCTTTTTTTTTCCCTTTATCCTCATTTCACTAGTTAGGACTTCCAACCCAGATCCTACCCAGTGTGCTCAGTGACCATCCAAAATGTTTTCCTGTTTTTAAAATAACCTTAGTGTATGTTTAACATATACAACATGATGTTATGAGATATTAATACATATAAGGAGGCCGTGCATTTGATGGTTCATGCTTGTAACCCCACCACTTTGGGAGGCCAAGTTGGGTAGATCACCTGAGGTCAGGATGAGTCCAGCCTAGCCAACATGGTGAAACCCTATCTCTACTAAAAATACAAAAATTAGCTGGTTGTTGTGGCAGGTGCCTGTAATCCCAACTCTTTGGGAGGCTGAGGCAGGAGAATTGCTTGAACACTGGAGACAGAGGTTACAGTGAACTGAGATTCATGCCACTGTACTCCAGTCTGGGTGACAGTGAGACTCCATCTCAAAACATTGTATTATATATGTATGTATATATATACACATATATACACATGTATATACATATATATGTATATATGTGTGTATATATATACAATTTAAGATAGATTATATATGTGTGTGTATATATATAATCTATCTTAAGGGTCCTATGACACCAATTTCCTTGCCAGGAAGAGTCAGGTCCTCAGCCTGCTCTGGCTCAAGTACCTTTTCCTCTGAATGTGCATTATTGGTGCCTGGGCCAAACCCTGTTTGTTTTCCGTACAGAATAGTGTGTTCCTAAAAATAAAAAACATTTAAAACCTCGTATTCACACCTTAATATTTTGGTGGCAGGTCTCACCTGAGCTGACTAGAAATAAAAGCTACAGCCTTGCTGGAAAGCCCTCAGTGCCACCGTGCAAGATGTCATCCAGAGCTTCCTAAAGGTACTGAGGTGGACAGGGGGGTGTGGGTGACAGAAATAACAGGGTAACTTTGCTTTTCCCTATGAACATTATTGAGACCCTAATTAGGAAGGGTTTCTGGTAGGGGGCAATTTTGTGTTTGCTTGTTCCTTGGGAAAATCACTGGAGAAAGATGGATTCCCAGACCCACCGAATCTAGGTTTTAGACCAGAAAATATTACTAGAATTGAGTATATCTCAGGTCCTCTTTCATTACTATACCACAAAATAAATCTGAGGTGGTATAATAAAGACAGTGATATTCTGGAGTAGGAGTTTGGTTCTTAAATAAAAGCATCTTTTTTTTTTTTGAGACATAGCTTCGCTCTTGTTGCCCAGATTAGAGTGCAATGGTGCAATCTCGGTTCTCTGCAACCTCTGCCTCCCAGGTTCAAGCAATTCTGCCTCAGCCTCCTGAGTAGCTGGGATTACAGGCCTGCACCACCATACCCGGCCTTTTTTTTTTTTAAAGTAGAGATGGGGTTTCACTATGTTGGCCAGGCTGGTCTCAAACTCTTGGCCTCAAGTGATCCAACTACCTTGGCCTCCCAGAATTCTGGGATTACAAGCATGGGCTACCATACCCAGCCCAAGCATTTCAATCTTAAATACCTTATAAGTGAATTTGACCTAGAAAGTTGTCTTACTTTTTCTTCTAGGTCGAATTAGGGGTTTGTGCTGGTGGCTCTAAGAATGAACATGAGACTCGCAAGGGAGTGCCTGCTTAGTTGCAGTAGACCTTGTTTAGGCTAAAAATAAGCTCAATACCAGCTGGACAGTGGCTCATGCCTGTAATCCCAGCACTTTGGGAGGCCAAGGTGGGCAGATCACTTGAGGTCAGGAGTTTGAGAGTAGCCTGAGCAACATGGTGAAACTCTAACTCTACTAAAAATACAAAATTAGCTGGGTGTGGTGGTACATGCCTATAATCCCAGCTGCAGTCAGCTGAGATCATGTCATTGCACGCCAGCCTGGGCAAAAAGAGTGAAACTCCATCTCAAAAAAACAAAATAAGCTCAATACCTGTATTTTACATACTGGAAAGAGCATTAACTATAACCTGTCTGCAGTAGCCTCTGTAGTCAGAAACAATTATGGAGGTGTCAAGCAAGACTAAAGAGCTGATAACATCAAATTTGTTTTATTTCAAATTTGTAACAAAATATATTCTAGGCAACTTTTCTGACATTTGTAGCATCATCATAAACCCTGTACCACTGCTATCATTCCAAAAGCTGCTAGAACTCTGGAAGTCATCAAGTGGTCCAGCCCTTCAGCTCGGGAATACAGGTAGAATTCACATGATAGGTGATAAGAAAGCTATGTCTGTGGGCCATTCTGATCCCTCCTTTTTACCCTGGTAGGTAAGATACGATCTTAGATATATCTATCTATATCTAGATATAGATAGATATATCTGTATATCTATCTATATATACGTATATATATCTATATCTGTATATATAGATATATATACGTATATATAGATATGTATATATATATATTATACACACACACACACATATATATATATTTGTGTTGAATATTAGTCAGTGAAAAAGTTAAAGTGACAAGTTCTATGCTTTGTTCTTGTAGCTCTTTGAAGTTATCCACCTCACCAGCAATTGGAAGGTCTCAGGTCTAGCAGGCGCCACCCATGTGTAATCCTGGGGCAGGTGTGTATCTTGATTTTTTTCCCCCAAGAGATCACTCAAGGGAGAGAACAACAGAAACCCAGGCCACCAGTACTTCCCCAATTTTAGATTAGGTAAGAGGTTAGATTAAATTAACTGATGGGGAATGGTAGTGGGTGGCAGTCAGACCCAGGAGTCAGATTTGAGTAGTTGCCTGATCTCAGGAAGGTCTAAGGAAAAAAAGCTTTGACTTTTTTTTGCCCTCCTAAATAGTAGCATCCAGTCATGAAGGCCAGTGAAATGTGATTAGTCTCCTAAAATGACTTCTAATTCTTCCAGGTCCTTCTGGAGAGCCAAATCCTAGGGAAACAAAGAACAAATTTAGGACTCAAAATTTAAACCAGCATTTTCCCAAACCAGTGGAATCTGAGAACAGGGGCCCTCTGCTTCCTTCCTGAGCTCTGTTACATTCTTTTTCCTACTTCTCAGGATATCCTGGAGCCCATGAAATCTGTCTGATCCCCTAGAGGTAGAGTGTGTTTTGTTCCCTAGGGAACAAGATTTTTTTCTAAAAAATGTCACATGATGATTCAGTTAAGACAGGCAGTTTTTCCTTTTGAGATGGAGTTTTGCTCTTGTTGCCCTGGCTGGAGTGCAATCTTGGCTCACTGCAACCTCTGCCTCCCGGATTCAAGCGATTCTCTTGCCTCAGCCTCCCGACTAGCTGGGATTACAGGCATGTAACACTATTACCCATCTACTTTTGTATTTTTAATAGAGATGCTTTTCTCCATGTTGATCAGGCTGGTCTCAAACTCCCAACCTAAGGTGATCCACACAGACAGGGAGTATTTAAAAAGCCTTACCTCCAGCCGGGCGCAGTGGCTCAAGCCTGCAATCCCAGCACTTTGGGAGGCTGAGGTGGGCGGATCACAAGGTCAAGAGATCGAGACCATCCTGGTCAACATAGTGAAACCCCGCCTCTACTAAAAATACAAAAAATTAGCTGGGCATGGTGGCGTGTGCCTGTAATCCCAGCTACTCAGGAGGCTGAGGCAGGAGAATTGCCTGAACCCAGGGGGCGGAGGTCGCGGTGAGCCGAGATCGTGCCATTGCACTCCAGCCTGAGTAACAAGACTGAAACTCCGTCTCAAAAAAAAAAAAAAAAAAAAAAAAAAAAGCCTTACCTCCTTAGTGACATCTGGGAGCTGCAAGGGCCAACTTCATCCACCATCTAGCTTCAGAGTTTTTCCCAAGTTCTCTATAGCACTGAAAACAGACAACAGTGAAACCTGAGAGAAATAATATCAGGAGACTAGAAGGGGATGAGTATGTGTGCTTTCAGGAGTTTCCAGAACTATGTTGAAGTAGACAAGTGAGTTTACCTTGGAAATATATACCCTTCCTGCTTTGGAAAATCCTGGCTGTAGTTCTTCAGCCTGGGAAAAGGGACAAAGATATTTCAGTCAGAGGTTCCTATATTCTAATCAGGCTGAAGTTTATTAGAGATTTCTAGTCCCCAACCATGTGGCTGATTCAGTGGGTCTGAAGAAATCTGTATTTTTGATAAGGTGTGCAAGTGATTCTGATTTTCCCATAAAACAAGCAAACATAAAATTGCCCCCTACCAGGAAAACCCATCCCAGGAAAAAACAAGATCCCTGGTGTTTTTGCCTGCCACCCACCCCTCTCTGATACCTTTAGGAAGCTCTGGAGGGCATCTTCCACAGTGGCACTGAGAGGGCTTTCAAGCAAGGCTGTAGCAGTTTTTTTTTCTAGCCAGCTCAGGTGAGAGACCTGCCACCAAAAGATCAAGGTATGAATAAGAGGTTTTAAAGGTTTTTTTAATCTTTGAAAATGTACTTAAAACAGGGTCAAAAGGGGCTGGGTCCAACCACCAATAACACGAGCATTCAGAGGAAAGGGCATCTGAGCCAGAGTAGACCAAAAGATCTTGTTCTTTCTGGCAAAGAAATCAGTGCCAGAAGGCATTTAGGACCATTATGTTAAGCCCTGAAATGCAGCTTACCTGATAGCACCACCTGCCAAGAAGAAAATGAGCCATGGGATTTTCTGGCTGGAGAGCAATAGCTTTGTCCACATGCTCCTAAGGGGAAAATGTAAACTAACATCAGATACAAGAGTTGCTAAGAGCAGCAAGGGCCGGATGCAGTGGCTCATGCCTGTAATCCCTGTACTTTGGGAGGCTGATGCAGGTGATGCAGGTGGATCACCTAAGGTCAGGAGTTCGAAACCAGTCTTCGCAGTCCTAGCCAACCTGGTGAAACCCTGTCTCTACTAAAAATGCAAAAATTATCTGGGCATGGTGGTACATGCCTATAATCTCAGCCACTTGGGAGGGTGAGGCAAGAATTGCTTGAACCCAGGAGGAGGTTGCAGTGAGCCAAGATTACACCACTGCTCAAAAAAAAAAAAAAAAAAAAAAAAGAGAGAGAGGCTGTAGAAAAGCCTTTGGCAGGGAGCCATAAAGGAGCAGGGAGTCTGGGATAGGCCAGTACAAGGAAGAAGCTTGTCCTCACCTTGAAGCTAAAGCCACTCTGGATGCGCCTCTGGATGTTCTCATGCTCAGCCAGCTGACCACAAAGCACTGCATACCTAGGGGGGAAGCAGCAAGCTCAGGGACAAGGACAAAGCATCACTGCAAGGAATGATGTCCCACCAAAAGCCTAGTGGCATTGTCCCCTGTCCCTCTACCCTCTTAGCTAGAGCTGAAAATGCCTAATTTTAATCTGTATGTAATAACCTCTCTTCACAGACCTCTGGCCCTAATTAGTAATCTTTAGTAGATATGGTAGGTTTAAAAGTCTCCAAGGTATTCTAGGTATAAAAAAGTTGGGACTACCACAGTATATCTCTTATACTTAAGAATATTTAGGCAAGTTCTCAGTCCAGATTTCCCCTCATAAAAAGTACTACCAAAGGCATTAATAAAAATTTAAAAAGCATCAAATAATAATCAGCATAAAAGTATAAGAGACCTGAGTATATTGCTTATCTTCTAAGCAGCCAAAAAAATGAGTCTCATTAGCCTTTAAGCATACAGATGTAGCACTGGGACTTAGGAAGCAATTTCTTAAGATAGTCACATTGGGAGGGTATGTTCTAGAAATTCCTAATATTAACCTGGGGACCAACAACCAGAGGAAGAAAGACTTATGTTTGCCCTCTCCCCCACATCCCCCCCTCCCAAGGAGAACCAACTAGCCAGCTTCCCATCTTCTATTCTCAGAAACAAACTCTTACTCCCCCATCCCCCAGCATTGTTCCCAGCAGCACAGCTGACATTACATGAGTAAACCAGCCAAAGTTGCTTTTTCACATATATGCTAAGTATCTGTGGGATATCGGACACTTCTAGAGGCTCATTTCCGTGTTTAATCCAAACAGCTGTTCATCAGGAATAGCTAAGAAAGCGTGGGGCCAATTTTCATCCTTGGAAGCCCAGGGAAGCAGTGACACCCAAGAAACAGTTACCTGGCCTCTGAGAAGAACCCCTGCAGAGACAAAAGTTTCAGCAACAGATGGAGAAAGACAGCCTCTCACTTAGCTCACAATCTGAGGGTGGAGATATAGAAAGCAAGGATGGCGGTGGGAAAGGAACATTTTCACTGAAACTCAGGTGCTGGAACCAGACCCCAGGACCTGAGTTTGCTCTGACACAAGTAAGATGACCAAACTTTCTATCACATGAGACCAGAAAAAGGGCTCATTTTTTTTAACCTAATAAATTGACCAATGAACTCCCAAGAGGTGAGCTCACATCTACTTTTCTTCATGCAAACCAAGCAAAGAAGCCAAAGTACCACCAGCCAGGGATCACACACAGGGGTAAGAAGAGCTTGTGCGGGAAAGGGCAGCTGCAGGTTGTCCCAGCCTCCCGAGAGCCAAGAACTTCAGGTTTGTAGCTAGGATGACTCTTACAAAGCTATTCATTTATCCAAGTTCCATCAGAAAAAAGCTTGCACTCCCCCACCTTGTCTCATTCCCAAGTCACCTCCCCGACCAGAAACTTCCCTTGTCTCTTACTAGGGGTAGACTGAGGTATGTGGAAATACAAGCCAGAGCTCCCTTTCCTGGATCTTTTGGAAAATGCCTCTGTGGCCCAGGCACAGAAAAGAGGGCTTTACTCTGCCATAGCCCTTGCTGGCTCTTCCCAAAACACTGCAGGATGTTATTACCACAGGTGGCAGTCAGCACTCTCCTCCCCCTTCTCTAGAGCAGCCTCTGCTTCTTCTTTTCCTGTAGGACAAAAGTAGACCCAGAGTTGACATGAGCTCTTACGCACATTTTCATGTGATGCCTTGTGGGAATAACTGCTTTAGCTCTCACCAGTCCCTACCCAACTTGGACTTGCTTGGAAATAGCTGTGAACTTAAGCAGAATGAAAGGCTGCATGGTGGCTGATGCGTGTAATCCGAGCACTTTGGGAGGCCAAGGTGGGTGGATCAACTGAGGTCAGGAGTTCAAGACCAGCCTGGTCAACATGATGAAACCCCCTTCTCTACTAAAAATACAAAAATGAGTTGGGCATGGTGTGGACGCCTGTAATCCCAGCTACTCTGGAGGTTGGGGCAGGAGAATCACTTGAACCCCAGAGGATGAGGCTGCAGTGAGCCAAGATCATGGTATTATGCTCCAGCCTGGGCAACAAGAGCAAAACTGACACACACACACACACACACACACACACACACACACACACAAATTGGGTGTGGTGGCACATGCCTGTAGTCCCAGCTACTCGGGAGGCTGAGGCAGGAGAATTGCCTGGACCCAGGAGGCAGAGGTTGCTGTGAGCAAAGATCGCGCCACTGCACTCCATGCTGGCAACAGAGTGAGACTCTGTCTCAAAAAAGAAAAGTATAAAAGGATCCAGACATGCATGGTGGTTTATGCCTGTAATCCTAGCACTTTGGGAGGCTGAGGCTGGTGGATCACCTGAGGTTAGGAGTTTTGAGACCAGACTGGGGAACATGGTGAAACCCTGTCTCCACTAAAAATACAAAAATTCGTTGAGCGCAGGGGCTCAAGCCTGTAATCCCAGCACTTTGGGAGGCCGAGGCGGGTTGATCACGAGGTCAAGAGATTGAGACCATCCTGGTCAACATGGTGAAACCCCGCCTCTACTAAAAATACAAAAAATTAGCTGGGCATGGAGGCACATGCCTGTAATCCCAGCTACTCAGGAGGCTGAGGCAGAATTGCCTGAACCCAGGGGGTGGAGGTTGCGGTGAGCCGAGATCGCGCCATTGCACTCCAGCCTGGGTAACAAGAGCAAAACTCCGTCTCATTAAAAAAAAAAAAAATTCCTGGTCCTGGTGGTGTGTGTCCACCATGATTCTGCTGCCTCAGCTACTCAGGAAGCTGAGGCAGGAGAATCAGTTGAACCTGGGAAGTAGCAGTTGACACGAGCCAAGATTGAACCACTGCACTCCAGCCTGGATGACAGAGTGAGACTCCGCCCCCTTCCCTCCAACCCCCACCCTCACCCCCGGCCAACTCAAAAAAGGGATCCAACACAATCAGAAACTGTCCCCAACAGACCTTACTCTGGAGGGGCAGTGTCTATGAATCTCAAGTTGTATAAAATTTTACTTAATTGAGGAGACGGTTCACAGCTTTGATAAAATTCTCTAAAGGGGACAGGTACATTGGCTCACAACTAGAGCTTTGAGAGGCCAAGGAGAGAGCATAGCTTGAGACCAACACCAATCTGGGAAACATAGCCAGACCCCTGTCTCTTAAAAAAATCCTCAAAAGGATCCATGATCCAAGAATATTAATTAGCTCTAGGCCAAACTCTCAAAAAGAGCTACGTGGACTGAGGTCTGACCAGAGATGACTTTCACTTAGTCTTACACACGTTTTCTAGGTTAGTGTTCTAACAAAGAAAGCCCAGACACATGAAGTTATGACAAGCATCATCAATATCGAGGCTTGAGCCTAGGACCTCCAGATAAGGACCATCATGCCTACGCACTGGAGAAGACGCTGCAAAATAGGATTTTTTTTTTTTTTTTTTTTTTTTTTTTTAAAGAGTTAGGGTCTCACTTCATCACCCAGGCTGGAATGCAGTGCTGTGATCATGGCTCACTGCAGTTTTCAATTCCTAATTCAAGCAATCCTCTACCCTTAGCTTCCCAAGTAGTTAGGACTATAGATGTGCACCACCACACCCAGTTAATTTTTCTTACAAGGTGAGGTCTATCTTGCCCAGGCTGGCTTTGAACTCCTGGCTTGATGCCATCTTCCCAGCTCAGCCTCCCAAAGTGCTGGGGTTACAGGCATGAGCCACTGTACCTGGCCAAGACCTCTTTGAAGAAAACAGATGGCTTGGAAGGGAACATGGAGAAATAGAACAAATGTAAGTTGGCTAATCTGAAATGTTTTGTCTTTTTTTTGGGGGGTGGGGTGGGGGACAGTGTCTTGCTCTGTCACCCAAGTTGGAGTGCAGTGGGACAATCTAAGCTCACTGTAATCTCTGCTTCCTGGGCTGAAACAATCCTCCTGCTGGCATGTTCCACCATGCCTGGCAAATTTTTAAAGGTTTTTGTTTTGTTGTGTTGTGTTTGTAGAGACGAGGTCTCACTATGTTGCCCAGGTTGGTCTCCAACAACTGGGCTCAAGCAATCCTCTTGCCTTGGCTTCCCAAAGTGGTGAGATTACAAGGCATGAGCCACCACGCCTGGCCACAAATCCATTTTTAAAACAACTGGCTGGGCACGGTGGCTCACGCCTGTAATCCCAGCACTTTGGGAGGCCAAGGTGGGCAGATGATGAGGTCAGGAGTTCAAGACCAGTCTAGCTAACACGGTGAAACCCTGTCTCTACTAACAAAACAAAAATTAGCAGGGCATGGTGGCGCGTACCTGGCTACTAGCATTAATAAGAGATGATCAGTGATCAAGAGGGAAAGGAAAGGTGTTGACATGAAGAGTCCAAAAATCAGCCCAAAAGCTGATTGGGAATCCTCACCTGAAATTCAGGAGGGAAAACAGAAACTTGAGGAGAAACTAATTGTAATTAAGCATCTTTTGTTAAAACCTCCAAGAATTTTTCTGAGGAGCTTCAGAGACATCCTAATCAACTGGTCTGTTCTTTCTCCATCAACAGAATTCTACAAATGTTTAGAATGTTAACCTTGAGCTATTGTTAGAGTCTACACTATCAACAATTCGTATTTGTAAGTCCGTACTTCTAATAGAAAGGTGGACAAATCCGTTTTAGACAGTTAACTGAACCTGCCGGGCACAGTGGCTTATGCCTGTTATCCCAGCACTTTGGGAGGCCTAGGTGGGCGGATCACTTGAGGCCAGGAGTTTAAGACCAGCATGGCGAACATGGTGAAACTTTCTACTAAAAATACAAAAATTAGCTGGGCATGGTGGCACATGTTTGTAATCCCAGCTACTGGGTTGGCTGAGGCAAGAGAACTGCTTGAGCCTGGGAGGCGGAGGTTGCAGTGAGCTGAGATCACACGACTGAACTCCAGCCTGGGTGACAGAGTGAAACTGCTTTTTAAAAAAACAAGATATTAACTGAACCACACAGACCTAGAAACCCATTAATGGTGCCTCACTCAATTTGTGGAGTTCAGCAGGACACATCAGTCTCTTTCTAAAGTCCAAGGATTCTCTGAACTCATGATAGCCAAGGGTGAGCCATGAGCCTGGCACAGGTCAGATGCACCCTATTCTCCAAGGTGGAGCCTTTGCCAACAGACTTGCCAAGTGGATTCCAGAGTCTTCTAAGCTAGCTATATTCTTACAACACCTGCCCCACAGGCTCCATAACTGACACAAGATTCCTAGTAGCTGCAAAAAAACCTCATCAAGAAAGAAGATTTTGCCCTCTGTGGCTAGACAGTGAGAAAAACAAATAACACTGATAGGATACAACTACTCCTAAAAATATATGCACATGTGTTACTAATCAGCATGATGGATAAGCAAGGACTGCTCTCTTCCTCCAGAGGAGAAAGCAAGGGTCTTTGGGAGCCAGAGTTTGTCCCTAATGGGTAACCGAGCCACGACTGCTCTGACAGCATCTTGGTGCTTCCCTAGGGCCCCAGGCAGATGGGCCAGCCCCACCCCTGAATCAAGTCACCTTCCCACAGGAAGCTGTCAGCGCTTACCATCTAAGGCATATGACTTCTTCTCGCTGACCTCCTCAGTGAGCTCACACATGTCACTGTAGGCCCGGGCCAGGCGCCAGAGAAAGTCCTGCCGGCTTCCATACTGCAGACCAGACAGAAACAGGTAAGGCCCCTTTATCCTCAGCTGTGGAGAATGGAGGCCCTGGCCTTCCCCCACACCCTAGGTTTGAATTTGCAAGCTAATATGTTACAATCACCAGCATCACGCCAGCTCCTATGCACAGCCATCCCCCCAGTCATCCCTTCCCACGTGCAGTTAAAGTATGACACATTCTCTGTCTAGCCAGTGGGTTGCACAATCACAGGGTTAGGGCATTCTGGCCTCCTCAAACTGCCAGGAGGAAAGGTCAACTCTAAGAAGATGTCATAAGGGATGAGAGGTCTCTTGTTGACACATGAAGAAAGTGTGAAAGGAAAAGGGAGAGGCCGGGTGCGGTGGCTCAAGCCTGTAATCCCAGCACTTTGGGAGGCCGAGGCGGGTGGATCACGAGGTCAAGAGATCGAAACCATCCTGGTCAACATGGTGAAACCCGTCTCGACTAAAAATACAAAAAATTAGCTGGGCATGGTGGTGCGTGCCTGTAATCGCAGCTACTCAGGAGGCTAAGGCAGGAGAATTGCCTGAACCCAGGAGGCAGAGGTTGCGGTGAGCCGAGATCGGGCCATTGCACTCCAGCCTGGGCAACAAGAGAGAAACTCCGTCTCAAAAAAAAAAAAAAAAAAAAAAAAAAGAAAGGAAAAGGGAGACTTTTAACTTCCAGTGGGCGGAACGGGGGGATTGGTTATACCTGGGTGGGCCTAACTTTTGTCAGGGAACCTGAGAAGAGAATTGTGGTTGAGTGACCTACACAGTGGTCACTTGGGGCTGGCAGCTTGAACTCTGTATCAAGGGAAAAGAGGAGAAAAAAAATCCCATTTCTTTTCACATTTACCCCTAGAGGTAAGAGGTAGAGCTCTTTCTGCAGTAGCTCTACAGGAGGCAGAGGACTTTGCTCCCCCGACCTCAGCTGGGGAGTCCTCAGCTCTGGAGCAAACAGTACACTGGCCCTAGGGTCCACACTGGGCCTCATCGGAAGAGGATATGCTACCTGGGAACAGATGCAGAACCCGCTGTCTTACCCTTATTTCTTCCCCCATGTCACCTTGTTGGGGCAGTAACCACATGGGCGTTCATTTCCCAGGGTTCAGGAGCAGAGGGATGGAGGGAGGGAAGGAGTATCAGGCAGGCAGCTGGAGCCTCACCGCCAGCTTGTTGTTGAGCAGCAGCTGGAAGCCCTCCCGCTTGCCCTGCTCATCACCCTGGTGCATCTCATCCGCCTGCTGCAGGAGGGGCAGCACATCCTCCAAGCCTGAGGAAGCTCCAGGCTCCAGGGCACTGGGCACCAGACCCGAAGATGCCTCCACCTCCAGGTCCAGAGAATCCTTTCTCCCCATCTTCACAGTCTCACAGCTTGCTTCATCTTCCCCATCCTCACTCTCTTTGTCAGAGTCCCGCTCATTGTCAGACTCCGCATTGGCTGTTGTGTAACTGGAATAGAAATGTAAGGGACAATAAGGAAGATGGTTATTCAGCTCAGAGCCCTTAGGATCTATCCCTCACCTCCCTTACCCCCAAAGAAGTACTCTACATGGCATTGTCCAAAGCACCAAATCATAATCCAGACAGTCTTGCTCTGTTGCCAGTCGCCAGGCTGGAGTGCAGTGGCGCGATCTTGGCTCACTGCAACCTCCACCTCCTGGGTTCAGGCAATTCTCCTGCCTCAGCCACCTGAGTAGCTGGGACTACAGGCACGCACCACCATGCCCAGCTAATTTTTGTATTTTTGGTAGAAACGGAGTTTCACCATGTTGGCCACGATGGTCTCGATCTCTTGACCTCATGATCTGTCCACCTTGGCTTCCCAAAGTGCTGGGATTACAGGCATGAACCATTGCACCCGGACAATCATTCCTACCCCTTAAAGGCAGAATTTTTTTTAAAAATTTTGAGAGAGTCTCATTGTCACCCAGGTTGGAGTGCAGTGGCTCAATCTTGGCTCATTGCAACCTCCACCTCCTGGGCTCAAGCAATTCTCCCACGTAACTTTTTTTGTATTTTTAGTAGAGATGGGGTTTTGCCATGCTGCCCAGACTGGTCTCAAACCGTGGCTTCAAGTGATTCACCCACATCAGCCACTCAAAGTGCTGGAATTGCCAGGCGTGGTGGCTCAAGCCTGTAATCCCAGCACTTTGGGAGGCCGAGGCAGGTGGATCACGAGGTCAAGAGATTGAGACCATCCTGGTCAACATGGTGAAACCCCGTCTCTACTAAAAATACAAAAAATTAGCTGGGCATGGTGATGCGTGCCTGTAATCGCAGCTACTCAGGAGGCTGAGGCAGGAGAATCGCCTGAACCCAGGAGGCGGAGGTTGCAGTGAGCCGAGATCGCGCCATTGCACTCCAGCCTCGGTAACAAGAGCGAAACTCCATCTAAAAAAAAAAAAAAAAAGTGCTGGAATTACAGGTATGAGCCACCATGCTCAGCAGAAATCATTTGAGAGAAAGCTTCGTATGAGAACTAAGGGCTGGGAAAGTGAACTGGGTAGGAAAGAATAGCCAACCAACTGGGCCCTGTGACAGTCAAGGCAAATATCAAAAGCCCCTGCTCGTTTTGCCTTTTCAGTCAAAGACACTTGCCAGAACCAACGTGTGGGTGCAGCCTCAGGCCATGGGCAGCCACACACATCCACAGTCTCTTTCACAAATGCATAACCTCTGGCCCAAGTCAAAAACCAAACCTAAACTCCAACAGGAGTAGACCTTGGTAACCTTGGGAACTTAAGGTGTGGGGAGAAGTGAACAGGAACCACTTTGCAGCTGTAGGCAAGAAGGGGAAAACAGGCCAGGTGCGGTGACTCACGCCTATAATCCTAGCACTTTGGGAGGCCTAGGTGGGTAGATGATCTAAGGTCAGGAATTTGAGACCAGCCTGGCCAAAATGGTGAAACCCCATCTCTACTAAAAATATAAAAATTAGCCAGGTGTGGTGGCGAGCACCTGTAATCCTAGCTACTAGGGAGGCTGAGGCACAGGAATTGCTTGAACCTGAGAGGAGGAGGTTGTAGTAAGCCAAAATCATACCTCTGCACTCCAGCCTGGGCAGGAGTGAGACTCTGTTTCAAAAAAAAAAAAAAAAGGCAAAGGCTATGCAAGCCACCCCGTGAAAAGGTGTTTGGAGGGCTGCCAAATGCCAGGTGACTCCCAAGGAGCCCCAACCCTCATGCACCCACTAAAGAGGAAGCCAAGTTTCTCTTGGATCTCAGCCACCAGCAGCTGATTAGGGTGTTTTCCCTGAGTGCCTAAAATAAATCAGATAAGGACCGAGCAGGGAAAAAGGTAGGACTTCCAGAGGTCAGAAGCAGACAGAAAAAAAGCCCTCTAGACCAGGTGTCCCCAAACTTTTTACACAGGGGGCCAGTTCACTGTCCCTCAGACCGTTGGAGGGCCGCCACATACTGTGCTCCTCTCACTGACCACCAATGAAAGAGGTGCCCCTTCCTGAAGTGCGGTGGGGGGCCGCATGTGGCCCGTGGGCCGTAGTTTGGGGACGCCTGCTCTAGACTCAGGGAAAAATGCAAGGGCTGTTGGAGCTAGCAGCCCTGAAGCATAGGGGAGATTGTCACGTCATCTCAATGATAAGCCTTGCTCCATCTGGAAAAACGTTAAGAGTAGGCTCCCAGGCCTGGCGCGGTGGCTCAAGCCTGTAATCCCAGCACTTTGGGAGGCCGAGGCGGGTGGATCACGAGGTCGAGAGATCAAGACCATCCTGGTCAACATGGTGAAACCCCGTCTCTACTAAAAATACAAAAAATTAGCTGGGCATGGTAGCGTGTGCCTGTAATCCCAGCTACTCAGGAGGCTGAGGCAGGAGAATTGCTTGAACCCAGGAGGCGGAGGTTGCGGTGAGCCGAGATCGCGCCATTGCACTCCAGCCTGGGTAACAAGAGCAAAACTCCGTCTCAAAGAAAAAAAAAAAAAAGTAGGCTCCCTGAGGCTGGAGCAAAACAACTGAAGGAGAGATGAGACACACACCTACAAATAAAGTCAACACATGACAGCCTAACGCCAGGGCAGAAGTGCTGTCCTCCTTGTCCAGAAAACCAGAAACCATGGAGCAGCAGGCTGAAGACTCTAGAACTGAGCAGCCAGTCCTGGTGGCAATCTGTGCTGACTGCATCCTTACAGAGGAGCTTCTGCCTCAACTAAAAAAGAGGCCCCAGACACATCTACAAGGACTTGTAAGGTACTTAAAACCTTTCTTAGCTGCACCTTGTTTTTCAAAAGGTTATCCAAGTATCTTTCCCCGTTAGTTATTTGCAGGAAAAAAAAAAAAAACTTTAGAAATTAAAGGGACAAGGATAAGTGTCATCAAATTTCATAATCGACCTGGGTACTTATAAGCGAGACCACTCACAGGTAATCAAGAAAAACTGAAACTCCCAATGGCACCTGCCACAGACTGAAAAAAATCAAACCACAATTTCCTCTGCCCAGCCAGGCCCAAAGGCAAAATCGGTAAATGGTTTATCTGGAATGCAAAGCTGGAATCTCGTCATCTCCTTTTGCTAGAAAGAGGAGGAGACCCTATTTCCTGTTGGGTTGAGGGCTGCCTCAGCCAATCAGGAGCCCAAACAGGAGTCTCTCTGCCTCCAGTTCTCCCCCGGAGGGACCTAGTCCTGCTAGAGCCCAGGCATGAGTACAGAATCCCCTGGGACCAGAGCTGCAATACTGCCATCCCTCTGGATCCTAAAGGCCCAGCTCACAAAGCCAAGAAGAGAGGTCACAGGGCCTTGCTGCCACAAACAGAGTGAGAGCCAGCAGAGTCCCATGAGTCAGGGAGGCTCCAGGGAAGCTGACACACAGAGGGGACTTAAATTGCACCTCAGCCCCACTTTAAGGAGCTCTCCTCATCAATCTGAAACTCCACTGCCTGATATCAGCTTCTGGGGACTCAGAAAAGATGAATCACGTGCCAACAGCTACTACATTTATGCTATTATCTCTCACTTTTCACCTCAGACTAACCCAGCCAGCCTTTGGAGAAATCCACCAGAGGGGTGACCCTTTTTACATACCCTGAGGCTACTGAGATCTGCCAGGGATGAGCAGGGACCTTTGAAAAGACCCTTTAGTCCTGTCCACTCCAGAGGACAGGAGTTCCCACAGTGGGCCAGAGACCCAAGGCTCCCTCTAAGCAAGGAGACTGCCACTCTACTCTTAAGCAGAGGCCACAGTAAGTAATGATGGACTCAGTTACACACATCTCCCTTCCTGGCAATTAAGTTTCTCTTAACTTCACTTAAACCATATTAGAGGCTGAATATGAGACCTTCAAAAATGACCAAGCACATGGGCCTTGACCTTGAGATAGGACCCAACTTAATGAGGTCATAAATGCCAAGAAGGAGTCTTCAAAATGAGGCTGTAGGCCGGGCGCGGTGGCTCAGCCTGTAATCCCAGCACTTTGGGAGGCCGAGGCAGGTGGATCACGATGTCGAGAGATCGAGATCATCCTGGTCAACATAGTGAAACCCCGTCTCTACTAAAAATACAAAAAACTAGCTGGGCGTGGTGGCGCGTGCCTGTAATCCCAGCTACTTAGGAGGCTGAGGCAGGAGAATTGCCTGAGCCCAGGAGGCAGAGGTTGCGGTGAGCCGAGATCGCGCCATTGCACTCCAGCCTGGGTAATGAGAGCGAAACTCCGTCTCAAAAAAAAAAAAAAAAAAAAAATGAGGCTGTAGGCGGTCTCTCTTGGCTGAGATGCCTGGGAAGGCTGGAGGAGCTGGTGTTTTAAGGCAGTGGAGTTCTAACAGAGGTTGGAACTCAAGCTGTGTTTGGTACAATGCCTGGGGAACAAACTCACAGAGCTGCACAGTGATTCTGCCTCTGCCAGCCCTCAACATCCTGAGACCTCAAGGTTTTAATTTTATACAGAAGAAAGAAGGAATATAGCTTTCAGTGAAATCGAGCAGCCCATCAAATTTCTGCCCTTCATCCCTCAAAGCAGCTCTCCTTGCCCCAAGACCCACAAGTTCAAAGCCGTTTCAGAGTTCGTTGACTCCTAGAGCTCCCCCTTGACCTACATGACAGTGACGGTGGCATAAAGAATTAATCACCACAGCCACTACCCTAGATAGCAACTGGCTCAACCACAGAGTGTTGCACCATCACCTGCTCCCATGCCACGGGACTGGGCATGGGACAGAGCCTGATGGAACTATAATTAAGAAAGCTGACCTTTCCCTTGCCCCATCACAGATTGCTGGCAGCCCTGGCCTGCTCCTTGTGGCCTTGGGAGTCCCAGTGAGCACCCTAAGCAGTGAAGCACTCACAAGTGTCCCTGCTTAACTGCTCTGCCTCTCAATGACCCTAGAAGCTTGTACAACTTCCTTATTTTCTTGAGAGACAGTCTCTCTTTCGCCTAGACTGGAGTGCAGTGGTGCAATCTTGGCTCACTGCAACCTCTACCTCCCAGGTTCAAGTGATTCTCCTGCCTCAGCCTCCTGAACAGCTGGAATTACAAGAGCACACCACTATGTCCAGCTAATTTTTGTATTTTTAGTGGGACAGGGTTTCGCCATGTTGGCCAGGCTGGTCTCAAACTCCTGAACTCAAGTAATCCACCTGCCTTGGCCTCCCAAAGTGCTGGGATTATAGGCGTGAGCCACCATGCTTGGCCTCAAGTACAACTTTTTTTTTTTTTTTTTTTGAGACAGTCTGCTCTATTGCCCAGGCTGGCGCCCTCTCAGCTCACTGCAGCCTCCATCTCCTGGGTTTAAGTGATTCTTCTGCATCTGCCTCTTGAGTAGCAGGGATTACAGGTGTCTGCCACCATGCCTGGCTAATTTTCTTTTTTTTTTCTTTTTTCTTTTTTTTTTTTTTTTTGAGACAGAGTTTTGCTTTTGTTACCCAGACTGGAGTGCAATGGCGCGATCTCGGCTCACTGCAACCTCGGCCTCCTGGGTTCAGGCAATTCTCCTGCCTCAGCCTCCTGAGTAGCTGGGATTACAGGCATGCACCACCATGCCCAGCTAATTTTTTGTATTTTTAGTAGAGACGGGGTTTCACCATGTCATCCAGGATGGTCTTGATCTCTTGACCTCGTGATCCACCCGCCTCGGCCTCCCAAAGTGCTGGGATTACAGGCGTGAGCCACCGCGCCCGGCGCTAATTTTCATATTTTTAGTAGAGACGGGGTTTCACCATGTTGACCAGTTTGGTCTTGAACTCCTGACCTCAGGTAATCCATCCTCCTCGGCCTCCCAAAGTGCTGGAATTACAGGCACAAGCCACCACACCCAGCCTAGTACAACTTATTCAAATCATCACAAAGTGGATAAGCTGCAATGGGTCATGCCTGTAATCTCGGCATTTGGAGACCGATGTAGGAGAACTGCTTGAGGCCAGGAGTTCAAGACCAGCCTAGGCAACATAGGGAGACCCTATCTCGACAAAAAAATAAACAAAATTGGGAGGGCATGACGGTACATGCCTGAAGTCCCAGCTATTCAGCAAGAAGGCTGAGGCAGGAGGATCACTTGAGCCCAAGAGGTTGAGGCTGCTGTTCTGTGATCGCGCCACTCAACTCCAGCCTGGGCAACAGAGTGAGAGCCTGTCTTTTAAAAAGGCCGTGAAAAGCCTCAAGTTTTGTTTGATCTTGGGCAGAGCTGTGACCTCTCCTGTTCTTACCTCCTTACAGAGTTCAAACATCAATTCCCCACTCAAGAAGCCTGCTTCCTTAGGTTCTAGAGACATTCTTTACGTCTCAGTGGCCACTATCAATGACTTCCTCCGTCTCTCGCTTTGATTCAGATCTATCAAATATTAATTTCACTGTGCCCCCTCTTTAACACAACTTCTGGAAGCATCTCTTAGCCCAGAGCCATTTAGGTAAACGGAATTTTAAAAAGCCACTTCCGCTTGCCCTTGAGAATACAGGTAACAGGGATCTGACAACCCAAACAACAGCAGTCCCCCATGGAGGAGCAGTGCTCTTTACTACCACTCCACAGGTTTGGGGAGGCCCCTGAACAGTCATCAAATCCAGCGTTGGTGTTAACAATATTTCAGTCAACAATGGACTGTGCATACAACAGTGAGTGTATAAGGAATTTTTCAGCTCCATTATCATCTATCATCTAGTATTTACTTAACACCATTTTTCTCCTTTTTTTTTTTTGAGTCAGGTTCTCACTCTGTCACCCAGGCTGGAGTGCAGTGGCACAATTATGGTTCACGGCAGCCTCAAACTCCCAGCCTCCCAAGTAGGTGGGACTACAGGCATATGCTACCATGCCCGGCTAGCTTTTTTGTTATGTTTTTTAGTTGAAGTCTCACTCTGTCTCCCAGGCGGGAGTGCCATGGCTTGCTCTTGGCTCACTGCAACCTCTGCCTCCTGGGTTCAAGCAGTTCTCCTACCTCAACCTCTTGAGTAGCTTGGATGACATGTGCCACCATGCCTGGTGTAATTTTTTTTATTTTTAGTACAGACGGAGTTTAGACATGTTGGCCAGGCTGGTGTTGAACTCCTGACCTCAGGTGATCCGCCTGCCTCAGCCTCCCCCAGCTAGTTAATTTATGTAGAGACATGGTCTCCCTGCCTTGCCCAGGCTGGTCTCAGGCTCTTGGACTCAAGCAATCCTCCTGCCTTGGCCTCCCAAAGTGCTGGGATTACCCATGAGCCACCACTGCTCTTGGCCTGATTTTAACTTGTAGTTTCCATGTGCCCACTTATAGATAATTCCTCTGATCCACCATAAAACTTGGCTGTTCTTTGCACCAGTCTTTTCCTTGAAAAGAAGAAGGGCTGGATAAGGAGAAATCAGCCTTTAGGCTTCACACAGGCTACCCGAATGACTGGAGCTAGAAGCAGACAAGGGCAGTTGCTGCCACTGACAATATCAGACTCTGGCCTTGGGACCAAAGTTTCAAAGTGGTGCTAGTGGTTTAAACTCAAAAAGCCCTTAGCATGACCAGATTTGGAGGAAGCTGTCCACCAGAAACCTGCCAGCTGCCCTGCCTCACAGAAAGGTCTACTGTCATTCCTCCTGGGCCACTGAGAACTCAGAACAGCCACCTGCCACCTGTAAAGATTCAAGGGATCATAGGCAAGGCTCTTCTGTGGGAAGAAGGTGACTCCCAGGAAGAAGGAGCGTGCTTTGTGCTTAGAGATCTCTGTATACCAGCTCAGCCACCCAAGGAAAGGAACAAAGCCAAACCATGTTATAAAGTCTCTGTGATAACACAGAAAAATGCCCAAATAATGTATCATAATAACTGTAATAAACTGACTCAGAAAATAGCAGATGTAAGCAATAACTGCTATTAACATCTACAGTTGTCTGAATGACATAAACAGGATGGGTTTGTTTCAACTGTTCTGCACTTATCTGTTCCAAAAATTATTTACAGCAGCTTGGTTTGGATTTTACATTGATAATACTTTTACGAAACACAACCTGGCTGTAGCCACAACTGCCTCCAGGAAAGACAACTCACCCCCCTTCGCTCTCGGCATCTGTAAACGTAGCTCCCGAGGAGGCTGTGAAATAGACAGAGCTGGAGCCAGTGGAGTCACTCCTCTCCCGGACAAAAGGAAACCTTCGCCGCCGAGCCACTCTCTGGTTCTCTTCCATGTGGGATCTGAAAAGCAAGCCAGTCCCAGAGGGTACCATTAGGCCCCATCCAGCCTGTCTTTCCACTCACCATGGGGTGCCTCTTACTACCGCTTCTCATTAAAGGGCCAAGAACAGAGAAAACCCTAGGTCTCTACCCACAGGAGGGTAAGCAAGGGAGCTCCCTGGTCCCAGCCGACACAGACTAGGCTAGGCAGAACAGAGCGCTTCGGCTGCAGATGAACCATGAGAGTCCAGAAGCAGCAAGGAGCATGTGCAAGGCAAGGTACCAAATGTACAGCTTCTACCAGATTAGGCCAGAAGCTATAAAACTGGTTTCTTCCTTAGAGACAGAGAGCAAAGGCCAGAACACACCTCAGCTGAAAGCTACAGGGGAGGGATACAGCAGGAAAGGAAGCTGCATTACTCACCGGACCTCCCCAACAATCTCCCCTGCAAGCCCTCGCAGGCTGCTCCTCAACTCCTCCACCTCCTGCCGCAGCGCCACAAGGCTGGTCAGCACAAAGTCCAGGCGGTCCAGCACCTTCTCCTGACCTTCCCGTGGAAGAGTGGGCAGCACCGCGGCATCTCCAGCCCCACCAGGGACAGCCCGCAGCAGCATCACTGAAGAGCGAGAATGGGAAGCAGTAACACCCAGGAATATAGTGGGGGAAGAGATCTCACCCCTACCGTTCAAGAACACCTGCTTCTCATTGGAAGAGAAGGCCCAGTGAGGCTCAAATAGGACACACATTGACAGCCAAGACATGGTAACAAGTCCCAAGTAACTACCCAGGGATCTCTAAACAAGAGCCCTCTGCTCCAAGAACCTTCCATACCAGGGCCCTTCAGGAATGCTGCACACCATGACAGATAATGTAAAATGCTTGCCAGAGTGGAACCTGAACAAGGACAGTTGTCTTGCTAGAGTAAAAGAAAAACCTTCCCCTCACCATATAGTGCCCAATACCAGGGAGTCAATACTAACCACACAGCAAAACTAAAACTAAGCTCCCTCAAATTCTGATCTCTCACTTCACAAAGAATAGCAGGAAAAACCTGGAGCTTCTCCCAGAACTTAGTAACTGCCCCCCACTGAGAGAAGGGGGCCAGTTACTAAAAGAAAAGGTATACCAGAAAAAGCCCATCCAAACCATCTCAAAAAGACACCATTACTAAGCCCCACGGACCCAACCCTAAATCTCACTCTGAGTAAATTCCAGCAGTGAAATGCTAGCAAAGTGAGAGCCACCTATGGTAACTGGACTGGAAAATACAAAAACAAAAAAGAAACCAGAGAGGCAGGATCCACATACATCAAGCAAAATCCCTTATTAAAGGAAATCTGGTAAACCAGACCAGGCCACAACACACAGCCAATAATGTTCAAGAATGCAGAGCAAGAAAGAATCCTGGGAATGTGGCCACTTTCTTCTCATAGCAATTACAAACAAATGACAAGGAAATGGAAGGAAGCACAATTGCAATGCTAGATTATCACCAGGTTAGCAAATGCTGAGAGAGAGAGATCCAAGATGGCTGATCACTAGCAGCTCGGGATTGTAGCTCCCAGTGAAAGCACAAAGAACGAGAGAACGCCACACCTTCACATGAATTCTTGTTGCTCACGCACCAGGAGATTCCCAGTGGAGGAGCCTCACGGGTCGCCAGCAGCGACTCTTGTGACCGGCAAGGCGGTTTTGCTGGCGCCTCGGAGCGTCGGTTCTTGGTGCAGAGTCAGAAAAGCACCATCAATCTTAACGCCGCTGATTTAGTCAGCGCAGTGGGTTGCTCAGATTTTGGCGCTGAGAATCAATAAGTTGGACGTCCACTCGGAAACCCAATTACAAAGACGGTGATTATAAAGACCACAGATGGATAAATCTACAACGAAGGGAAGAAAACAGCCAAAAAAGGCTGAGAATACCCAAGATCAGAACGCCTCTCCCTCAGCAAGGGATCACAGTTCCTCATCAGCAACGGAACAAGGCTTGATGGAGAATGAGTGTGTTCCAATTACAGAAGCAGGCTTCAAAATGTGGCTAATAAGAAACTTCTGTGAATTAAAAGAACTTGTTCAAACCCAATCTAAAGAAACTAAGCACTTTGAAAAAAAGTTTGACAAATTTTAACAAGAATACACAATTTAGAGAGGAATATAAGTGAATTGATGGAGCTGAAAAACACAATACAAGAACTACGTGAAGTATGCACGAGTTTTAACAGCCGAATTGATCAAGCAGAAGAAAGGATATCAGAGGTCGAAGACCAACTCAATGAAATAAAACAAGACAAGATTAGAGAAAAAAGGATAAAAAACAACGAGCAAAGTCTCCAAGAAATATGGGACTATGTGAAAAGACCTAATCTACGCTTGATAGGTGTACCTGAATGTGACGAAAAGAATGAATCCAAGCTGGAAAATACGCGTCAGGATATTATTCAGGAAAATAATAGTAAGGCAGGATAATATACAACTCCAGGTAATACAGAGAACACCACAAAGATATTCCTGAAGAGCAACTCCAAGGCACATAATTGTCAGATTCACCAGGGTTGAAATGAAGGAGAGGCCGGGCACGGTGGCTCAAGCCTGTAATCCCAGCACTTTGGGAGGCCGAGGCGGGTGGATCAGGAGGTCAAGAGATCGAGACCATCCTGGTCAACATGTTGAAACCCCGTCTCTACTAAAAATACAAAAAATCAGCTGGGCATGGTGGCACGTGCCTGTAATCCCAGCTACTCAGGAGGCTGAGGCAGGAGAATTGTTTGAACCCAGGAGGAGGGAGATTGCAGTGAGCCGAGATCGCGCCATTGCACTCCAGCCTGGGTTACAAGGGCAAAACTCCGTCTTAAAAAAAAAAAAAAAAGAAATGAAGGAGAAAATACTAAGGGCAGCCAGAGAGAAAGGTCAGGTTACCCACAAAGGGAAGCTTATTAGACTTACAGCAGATCTCTCAGCAGAAACCCTACAAGCCAGAAGAGAGTGGGGACCAATATTCAACATCCTTAAAGAAAAGAACTTTCAACCAAGAATTTCACATCCAGCCAAACTAAGCTTCATAAGTGAAGGAAAAATAAAGTTTTTTGTGAACAAGCAAGCACTCACAGATTTCATCACCACCAGGCCTGCTTTACAAGAGCTTCTGAAAGAACTACTACACATAGAAAGGAACAAACAGTATCAGCCTTTCTAAAAAATACCAAAAAGAGCATCAATATAATGAAGAATTTACATCAACTAATGGGCAAAATAGCCAGCTAATATTAAATGGCAGTATTAAACTCACATATATCATTATTAATTCTAAATTTAAATTGATTAAATCCCCCAATCCAAAGACAGACAGGCAATTTGAATAAAAAACGAAAACCCATCAGTATGCTGCATCCAGACCCATCTCATATTCAGGGATACAGAAAGACTCAAAACAAGGGATGGAGAAAGATTTACCAACCAAACAGAGAGCTAAAATATATAAATAAAAAGTAGAAGTTACAATTTTTGCCTCTGATAAAATAGTCGTTAAAGCAACAAAGATCAAAAGAAGCAAAGAAGGACATTATATAATGATAAAAGGATCAATGCAACAACAAGAACAGCTAAAGATCCTAAATATATACGCACCCAATACAGGAATACGCAGACATACAAGACAATAAAGAGACTTAGACTCCCACACAATAATAGTGGGAGACTTCAACATTAATATTAGACAGATCAATGAGACAGAAAATTAACAACGATATCCAGGACTTGCTCAGATTTGGAACAAGTAAACGTAATTAACATTTATAGAACTCTCCACTTTAATACACAAAATATACACTCTTATCAGTACCACATCATATCAACTTAGAAGTTTAAACGAAATGTTGGTTGGCTCCTTGTTATTCTCTTCCCTCATTTTCTTTCATGACTCCATTATTAAGGACAATTATAGGCATACCCATATTTAGACTGCATTCTAGCCCGGGCAATAAAGCAATACCCCCATCCTCTCTCCCTCTTCCTCCTCTTTCTTCCTCTTCTTTATTCTTTAAAAAAAAAAAAAAGAAAAAAAAAGAAAATGCTGACAATCAATTGCAATCTAAGGTGATAGCTCATTGAAGACTCTTCCAAACTATCTTTTCCAAACAAGCTAACATTGGTAATCAGAGAAAACACTCATTTCCAATTAGTATGGGGATGAGATAATCTAAACGCTCCCTCTGGCCAGGCCCAGTGGCTCACACCTGTCATCCCAGCACTTTGGGAGGCCGAGGCCAGTGCATCACTTGAGGTCAGGAGTTTGAGACAACCCTGGCCAATATGGTGAAATCCATCTTTACTAAAAATACAAAAATCAGCTGGGCATGGTGGTGCATGCCTGTGATCCCCGCTACTTGGGAGGCTGAGAAAGAAGAATCACTTGAACCTGGGAGATGGTGGCTGTAGTGAGCCAAGATCACGCCACTGCACTCCAGCCTGTGCAACAGAGCGAGACTCTGTCTCAAAAAAAAAGAAAAAGGCCGGGCATGGTGGCTCATGCCTGTAATCCCAGCACTTTGGGAGGCCAAGGCAGGTGGATCACAAGGTCAGGAGTTCGAAACCGGCCTGGCCAAAATGTTGAAACCCCGTCTCTATTAAAAATACAACAATTAGCTGGGCGCGGTGGCATGCGCGTCTGTAGTCCCAGCTACTCAGGAGGCTGAGGCAGGAGAATCACTTGAACCTGGGAGGTGGAGGCTGCAGTGAGCTGAGATCGTGCCATTGCACTCCAGCCTGGGTGACAGAGTGAGACTCTTGTCTCAAAAAAAAAAAAGAAAAGAAAAAGAAAACAGAAACACTCATCTCAAACAAAGATGGTAGTAGTTTGAACCAGCCCTAGATACTTTGCTCAAACAAGGAAAGTTCAGCAGATCTGAAAGAACTACTCATTTCAGCTGTGCAGGCTGCCAGCCACATTCAGCTTCAACTTCATGACGTGTGCTCCTAGCCTTATGCTGTACAAAGTCCACTGGACCAGGTGACCAAGCCCAACCTTTCCACTTAATCTGTGACCGCCTCAGGAAAGTTACACAATCTTTTTGAATCTCAGTTTCCTCATAGGACGAATTAAAAAAAAACTTGAATGAGATAGTTTCCAAGTTGCCTTCAAATTCTAATATATGATTTAATACATAAGCCTCAAGACTTTTAATCCCTACAAGACTCTTTTTGCCCTCTTTTGGACTCTTCCTCTACTTACTACACACCTCACACAACAGTAAGCAAGTGCCTTTAATATCCACATAGCATTATTGTGGCAAGAACTAAAAGTAAAAGCTAAGCAGACTTTTTGAAATATACTTTCTTGGTAACAGAGGGGAAAGAGTACAGAAAATGACGACTGCCTTTTCTTTTTTGAGATTGAGTCCGACTCTATCGCCCAGGCCGGAGTGCAGTGGTGCAATCTGGGCTCCCCGCAACCTCCGCCTACCGGGTTCAAGCAATTCTCGTGTCTAAGCCTCGCCAGTAGCTAGGACGACAGACCATGCCACCACGTCCGCTCATTTTTGTACTTTTAGTAAAGACGGGGTTTCACCACGTTGAAATCTGGTTGAATGTTAGCCAGGCTGATCTGGAACTCCTGACCTCAGGTGATCCGGCCGCCTCGACCTCCCAAAGTGATGGGATTACAGCCGTGAGCCATCGCACCCAGCCTGACGACTGATTTTTCAACAAGCTTCCAAAACAGTGAAACCGTAAGGCACTTCCCTCCGTTGCCCAGTCACACAGCCTCCACCAAAAGCAGCCCGGACCCCAGCCCATTAGTCTGCAGTGACTGCGGTCTCGGGACCGGCTCCTACCCTGGCGTCCAGGCTCTAAAGTCTGCGTGTAGTCCAGGGAGTTGGGCAGGCTCTGGTTGCGGCCATGGCGCGGGGTCCGTTTCCATCGCTTGCTGTAAAGGACGCACAGGAATCCAAGGCCGGCGGCGGTACCCAGCAACAGTCCCAGCCCGGCACGGACACCGCCCAGGGCCCCCAGTCTAGACATGCTGTACCTGCGGCCCGCAGAAGCCACCGGGAGCGAGCAGGCAGGCAGGCAGGCAGGCAGGCAGGCGCCGGTGGGCGGGCGGGGGTAGGAAGAGAGAGATTCGTGAGCCTGGTAAAGCTATCCCCAAGGCCGAACCCTAGCAGATATCCCCTTGCCCTAACCCTGAGCTCCCGACTCCCTGCACCCCAATGTGAACCCTAAAGCTTCCTCCAGCCCCCAAGGCCTCACTGCCGCTCCCCTCACCCAGCCTGGACGTAACAGCCCCTTCAGCACACCCCTCGACCCGGCTCAGAGTCCGGCTCCTGGGCCTTCAATCCCCACCTCAGCCTCACGACACTGCAGACCACAAACCCGCCGCCCTGGCTGCAAACTCCTGGTCTTCCCCCGCAGCCCCCGAAGGCGCTCTGGCCTGGCAAGAGAGCAATTCAGACCCTTACCCGGCAGCCAGCAACCATGGCAGCAGCCGCCGCGGGCTCACGCTATCAGTGACTGTGACGTCACGCAGACGACGCCAACGGCTCGGAGCGCCGCGGCGCGCCGCGGGAAGGCGCAGAGAGATGACAATGCCGACCCCGCCTCCTCTTCCCTCAGGGGCGGGGCGATGGGCGACGCCAGAGGGGCGGAGTCAGCACAGAGCGCGAAAGGGAAGAGGAAAGGGGCCGAAGGCTTGGGAAAGGCGGGAAAGCAGGGAGACATCTTGGGGAAGTCTCACGCAGTCACCCTCGCCGTCCGGCAGCCAGAGCTCCAGTTCCCTCCGGCCACACTGGTTTACTTGCTGCTCCCGGAATACGCTCAGCATATTCACACTTTCTACCTGCGCTTCTGCCTGGACCGCCCCTTCTGGAAAACGTCAGAAACCTAGAAAACGTCACCCTCTCCCCACATTTTATTTTTATTTTGTAGAGCCTGGGTCCCGCTCTCCTGGTCTCCAGCGATCCGCCCCGCCCGCCTTGGCCTCTCAAAGTGCTTGAGCCACCGCACCCGGCCGTAAATCTTAAACCTAGCGTGCCGTCTAATAATTCCATTTTACTCTTGTAATTGTATGCAACTTCTTAGCATGTTGGCAACTAAAAAGACCGATTTTATGAACAGTGATAATTTTATTGTGAACATTTCTTTCTTTTTTTTTTTTTTTTTTTTGAGACGGGGTTTCGCTCTTGTTACCCAGGCTGGAGTGCAATGGCACGATCTCGGCTCACCGCAACCTCCGCCTCCTGGGTTCAGACAATTCTCCTGCCTCAGCCTCCTGAGTAGCTGAGTAGATGGTCTTGATCTCTTGACCTCGTGATCCACCCGCCTCGGCCTCCCAAAGTGCTGGGATTACAGGCTTGAGCCACCGCGCCCGGCTTTTTTTTTTTTTTTTTGAGACGTAGTTTCGCTCTTGTTACCCAGGCTGGAGTGCAATGGCACGATCTCCGCTCACCGCAACCTCCGCCTCCTGGGTTCAAGCAATTCTCCTGCCTCAGCCTCCTGAGTAGGTGGGATTACAGGCATGCACCACCATGCCCAGCTAATGTTTTGTATTTTTAGTAGAGACGGGGTTTCACCATGTTGACCAGGATGGTCTTGATCTGTCAACCTCGTGATCCGCCCGCCTCGGCCTCCCAAAGTGCTGGGATTACAGGCTTGAGCCACCGCGCCCGGCGTGAACATTTGTTAAGAGTTAAAATTCAGTTTAGTGAAAGAAGAAATATCTAGGCTATGACCGGGCGTGGTGGCTCATGCCTGTAATCCAAGCACTTTGGAGGCCAAGGCAGGCGGATCACCTGAGGTGGGGAGTTCAAGACCAGCCTGACCAACAGGGTGAAATCCTGTCTTTTAAAAAAAAATTATATGTATACATATATATACGTATATATGTATATATATATATATGAAATATCTAGGCCAGGCCAGGCGCGGTGGCTCACTCCTGTAATCCCAGCACTTTGGGAGGCCGAGGTGGGTGGATCACGAGGTCAAGAGATCGAGACCATCCTGGTCAACATGGTGAAACCCCGTCTCTACTAAAAATACAAAAAATTAGCTGGGCATGGTGGTGCGTTCCTGTAATCCCAGCTACTCAAGAGGCTGAGGCAGGAGAATTGCTTGAACCCAGGAGGCAGAGGTTGCGGTGAGCCGAGATCGTGCCATTGCACTCCAGCCTGGGCAACAAGAGCGAAACTCCGTCTCGGAAAAAAAAAAGAAAAAGAAATATCTAGGCCAGTCCTCCCAATACCCTTGACTAGATCTTAAGTTTATTTACCCTTTAATTGTGAGATACTGTATGCATATAAGAATGCAGGAGGCCTGCAAGGGTGGCATGTGATTAGTCCCAGATAGTCTGGGGGCTGGGGTGGGAGGATCACTTGAGCCCAGCAGGTAGAGGCTGCAGTGAACCATGAACACCCTAGGCTCTGGGCAACAGAGTGAGACTCCTGTCTCTCTATCTTTCTTTTTTTTTTTTTTTAGACAGAGTCTTGCTTTGTCACCGGGGCTGGAATGCAGTGTGGCGCAATCTCAGCTCACTGCAACCTCTGCCCCCCGGGTTCAAACAATTCTCCTGCCTCAGCCTCCCAAGTCGCTGGGACTACAGGCGCCCGCCATTACACCCAGCTAATTTTATTTATTTTTATTTTTAGTAGAGACGAGGTTTCAACACGTTGGCCAAGCTGGTCTCTAACTCGACCTTGTGATTCGCCCATCTCGGTCTCCCAAAGTGTCAGGATTACAGGCATTAGCCACTGCACCTGGCTAGACCGTCTCTTAATTAATTTAAAAAATAATACATTTAATGTATACATACATTGTTAAGAAGCACTGTAAAACACTGAGATACCCACGTCATAGTTTAAGGAATAAAACTTCACCAAAAAAAAGAAAAACTTCACCAATACCTCCTACTCAACTTTTTTTTTTCTTTTTTTTTTTTTTTTCTTTTTCTTCCTACTCAACTTTTAAAATTCAGTTCAATTAGTGCCTTTTGAGATACATTAATGATTGCTTTGGTGGAGAGAAACATTTTATTATTATTATTATTATTATTGGTTATTTTTAATGACTCGGTTCCAATGAAACGAATGTTTTTAATATCCCTTTTCAGTATTCTCATTTTTCTGTAATTGCATGTATCACCTCCATAATAAAAAATATTTACTTGGCCACACGTGATGGCACACGTTGGTGATCCCAGCATTTTGGAATGAGGTGGGTGGATCACAATCTCAAGAGATCGAGACCATCCTGGCCAACATGGTGAAAACCCGTCTCTAGTAAAAATACAGAAATTAGCTGGGCGTGGTGGCCCATGCCTGTAGTCCTAACTACTCAGGAGACTGAGGCAGGAGAATCACTTGAACCTGGGAGGCACAGGGTGCAGTGAGCTGACATGGCCCCACTGTACTCTAGCCTGGGCAACAGAGCAAGATCCCCAAGACTCCCTCTCAAAATAAATAAATAAATAAATAACTTTAGAGGCCAGGCACAGTGGCTCATGCCTGTAATCCCAGAACTTTGGGAGACCGAAGTGGGTAGGTCAGTTGAAGTCAGCATTTCAAGGCCACCCTGGCCAACTTGGTGAAACCCATCTCTACTAAAAGTACAAAAATTAGCCAGGCATGGTGGTGTGCGCCTGTAATCCCAGCTACTTGGGAGGCTGAGGCAGGAGAACCCCTTGAACCTGGAAGGCAGAGGTTCCAGTGATCCGCGATCTCACCATTATACTCCAGCCTGGGCGACAGATATCAGATATATATTATAATTTATATATATATGTGTGTATATATATATGTATATATATAAAATATATATATAATTTATATATAATACACATGTAATTTATACACACACACACACACACACACACACACACACACACACTTTATTGTGGAGGAAATAAAAATTCATTTCCTCTGGAATTAAGCTTTTCACCCTGCTTTTCTCTTGTGGCTCCATTGTCTCCATTATACTCTTTTTTTTTTTTTTTTTTTCCAGAGACACTCTTGCTCTGTCACCCAGGCTGGAGTGCACTGACGCCATCTCAGTTCACTGCAACCTCCAACTCCCGGGTTCAAGCAACTCTTGTGTCTCAGTCTCCCAAATAGCTGGAATTCTGGAATTACAGGCATGCGCCATGACGGCTGGCTACTTTTTTTTTTTTTTTTGAGATGGAGTTTCACTCTTACTGCCCAGACTAGAGTTGCAATGGCTCCATCTTGGCTCACCACAATCTCCGCCTCCCGGATTCAAGCAATTCTCTGGCCTCACTCTCCAAGTAGCTGGGATCACAGGCATGCACCACCACGCCCAGCTAATTTTGTATTTTCAGTACAGATGGGGTTTCTCCATGTTGGTCAAGCTGGTGGTGAACTCGCGACCTCAGGTGATCCGCCTGCCTTGGCCTCCCAAAGTGCTGGAATTACAGGTGTGAGCCACCGTGCCCAGCCTACTTTTTGTATTTTTTGTAGAGATGGGAGGTCTCCATGTTGGCCACACTGTTTTTGAACTTCCAGCCTCAAGTAATCCGCCCACCTCAATCTCCCAAAGTGTTGGGATTACAGGCGTGAGCCACCACACCAGGCCCATTACACTGTGTTCTATGATTATTTGCTTTCTAGTCTGTCTACACCACTGGACTGCCCACTCTTTGAGAATGGGGTTCATTCCTGATTCATCCCAGGTTTTGTGGGCCCTGGCCCAGCTCTAATGCAAAAGCCATCCATAAAAGTGAATGGAGGAAGGATGAAAAGAAGGCATGACCAACATCACGCCCTGCCATTTTAGCAGTGTGTTCTTAACAGTGGCAGAAAAGAATAATTTCTCTTCTCTGCACCAGGGGAGGCAGCTATGCTAGATAAACTGATTGTGATGAGAGGCTAGGCCAAATGGGCGGACCAAGCGGGCGAATTCATTTCCCCCTGGATATTAAAGATGTTATCTGGCAGGCTGTGTCTGCCAGGGCAATCAGCAATGTGGCGGGTGGTTCTGGACAGAGCTCTTTATCATGTGCTGCATCTGCAGACCAGTTTTGCAAATGTAACAGAGGCCTGGCTGCCTAAGATATGCACTGCCCACCTTCCCACCCCCTCCACAACCCAGCGTGAAAAGGAAGCAGAGCAGACTCCAAACTCTTGTCCTGCCCTCCGCCCAGAACATCGGCCTCATCTACCCAGCTCTTTGAAAAGAGGTGACAAGTCAGATGCCTTGGGATGGTGGCCTCATTCTTGTGTATAATGTTTAAGGTTCTTGATGTCTTAAAAACATTTTTTAAATATTATTTTCATTACTTAGTGACCACAAAACAACATTAATACATGTGCAAAGATTAAGAATGCATTTATAAGCTCTTGCACCCAGCACCTAGTGTAAGAAAGAGAATATCACATGCCCTGCTTGTACCCCTCCTCATATCTCCTTCCCGCTTCTCTCAGAGGTAACTGATCCCTGAATATTACATTTATATTTATGATTCCCTTACTTTTCTTTATAATTTGACCACATTTTATTCACCCCCAAAATGTTTAATTTTGCATGTCTGTGAGCTCTATGTAAATAGTATTCTATACATTTTTTCAAGACTTGCTTTTTTGCTCAGCCTTTTCATTGTCATAGTTTCCATGTATGACTCTTCCAGA